GGCTTTAAAGGGAAGCATAAAGAAGCCTTGCACTGATTATATAGTTAGTGATATTTTGATTGTGGCAATAGTTACATGAAGCTAATGTGATAAAAACTGTATACAATCACACACACACACACACACACACACTCATGCACAATGAGTACATGAGTAGTAATAAAATCTGATAAGGTCTGTAGATTATACCAGTGTCAATTACCTGATTTTGATATTGTACTATAGGTATGTAAATGTTAACAGTGAGGAAGGCTGTGTGAAATGGGGCACTCATAGACTCATGAATCTATAAGTACTTTGTAATGTTTTTAAAAAATATACAAACCAGCTATTCTTTAACAGCTAGAATGTTTGCGTGATTCTTTGTTTACAAAATCTACAAGTAGACCGAACATAAATTTAATGAGACCAATCTGTCAAACATCAATTCATATATTAAAATTTTGTATTCACAAGGTATGAATAAAGCAACAGAACTTAACATTCACATTTTGCTCTCACAAGAGTGAGTTTATCCTTCACCCTGACCTACAAAAGTGGTAGCATGTATCTAAATACTGTATACAGTATCTATATACTGGTAAACCTACAATTCAAACCCTGGGCTTTGAATCCCTGCAGAAGTCATCTAACTTCAGTTTCTCCTTAAACACAACATAAAAAATAGTAATAAATAGTTATAGTATACCAATCACCGAACTATTCAACCACCTGCTACACAGTGGAAGGTAAGAAGAGGACTCCCAAGAAATGAGAAAATATGGTCCCAGTTCATATTGTTTTAGATACAGATGATGTGATGCACAGGTATGTTTTTAAGCCTTTGGAAATGCATTTAGGGGCAAAAAGAGAAAAAAATGGCAGTAGAAATGATATTCAGAATGTAAATATTCAATGTGATGTAAGAATTTATTGAGTGCTTATCTTGGGCACCTGTAGTGTGACTAAGCAACTGAAGCTCTGGGTTTGCCAGGGAGCCTGTGGCTTTGGGACTTGCAACAATAGTATCATCAGTAGTGCTCCAAGGCTGTCAGTACTGCCACTGTTAGCTGTTGTTAATTTACATAACACAGATGTACTGGGCTTTGTGCTAAGCACTCTACAAATAACATAATCACATGAACTTTGCGAGATGGCATTATTATCCAGATTTTAAAGAAGAAGAAACTAAGAAGACATGTCTAGATACTTTCCCAAGACGAGCAACTAGAAAATGTCAGAATCCTGATGGGAACCCAGGTCATCTAACTTCAAAATTCATACTTTTAACCACTAGTCTATGTGTCTTCACCAAAGCCTGTTTAAAATCCTCCTCTTTGCTACTCTTTTCTCACGACCTCAGGTGGAACCTCTGGAGAGTTCCCTGACTTCATATTGTCTCTGCTCTACCTCCTTCCCCTAACAAATTCCATGTGGAGGATGAGGCATGGCCAATATAGCAATTGGCAAGACAGATCTTCAGCAAAGTTTTGTATGAGGAGAGTTGAGTGGGTAGGTATGGAGGCGGATGATGAGAGAAGAGTGTGTGTGTGAGTGTGAGAGATGTTTTCCCTGATTTTATTATAATGGTAAAACTTAATAAAGTAAATAAGTCTCTCACTTGAGGCATTTTAACTAAAATATTTGTGTTAGTGGTATAAGGCCAGGAAATATGCAATGACACAGAACTACCTGGATGGATTCTTCTATTCCTGACACTACCTCAGGGGCTTGATCTCAGTGGGCTTCTGAGTAAACAAGGTTACCACCTTGTTCCCATTTTCTAATGCTACATACAAACCACCCCCAAACTTGGATAATACAAACTGTTTTTATCACTCAGTGTTCTGTACGTGGAGTGGGCTGAGCTGAATGGTTCTCGTTCAGAATCTCTCATATAGTGGCAATCAGATAGTGGTGGGATCTGGAGTCATTTAAAGGTTTCTTTCCTTAGGTATCTGGAGCCTAAGTTTGAATGGCTGGAAAATCTGAGGGCTGGTTGGGCTTCAATCCTCATAGCATTTCCATGTGGCCAGCTTGGACTTTCTGACAATATGCTAGTCTCAGAGTAATTGACAGTCATGGGCTTGAACCAGCTTGTATTGGCTTAGAAGAGCTGATTCTGCATATCTTCTCCCAAACCTGTGTTCAGTGCTATCATTTTGGAAGCCATGGTGGGAGTATTTACACCATGAAAATTGGCAAACACTGCAAATCAGGAAACTTTTTTTCTCTAGAGAGCCAGTTTACTAACATATGACTCTACACAGTAGTTGGCTTCTCCCAGAGTGACTGAGCCAAGAAACCCAGGAGGAAGATGCAAACCTTCTTAGAACCTAGCTGTGGCTGTCCCAAAATGTTGCTTTCTTCTCATTCTATTGGTCAGTCAAGTCCCTAAGGCTAACCTATTTTTAAGAGGTAGAGAATTAACATTGATCTCCTGTAAGAAGAATAGTAAATAATTTGTATAGTCTAAGAGCCAGCACAGAGTATAGACTCAATAAATGCTTGATAAATGAATGAGTATGAAGTCATTTTAAACACTAATCTGCATGTCCTTAAGCCACTCTAAATGTACAAGTCCTTTTCGTAAGTTTTACTTCAATCAATGATTTTTAAATCTCTGAGTAGCCGAAATCTAAAACTGCTTGATATAAATCTGTTTACACTCTGTCTGCAGGTATTTACGGACCTGTTTACTCAGGCCCTGTCTGGTTACGTACTCAGTTGTTACCACTACACACATTACAATCACAGATTGCTTGTTTTATAGACATTTATAGATGCACTGTTTAGGTTGGCTTAAGTAAACTTCAAGTTTCTTAAGAGAGGTCTCATGTATTTCTTTGCCACTCCTCTTCCTACCATGCAAGCTACAGAGAGTTTTAAACATATGCATATGAATACTTACAAGATAGGTGATGGTTAGAGATTATAACCCTTAAAAGGGAAGGAAAGAAGGAGACAAACTGAAAATTCTTTTTTTTTTTTTTTTCCTGAAAATTCTTAATTGCTATGTTTTAGAACCTTCCATAAATGTTTTCCTTTAACTCTTCTATTTACCTAGTGAAGCAGTTATTATTTCCATTTCACAGTTGAGGAAAATGAGCCTCAAGAAGTTTTAGACATTTGGTCCAAGCCATACTGAAAAGTGGAGAAACTGGGATTCAAATGAAGACTCACATAGTTCTAAAGTCTGAGGTTTATGCATTCTTCAGGCTGCCTACCCACTGCTCTCTACATTTCCCCATCCTCTCACATTCTGGTCTCTCTCCTTAAAGCATCTACAGGAGTCATAAAAATGCTAATGCTTCTGAACTCCAAATAGAATAATCAGTGTTTCAAGTTGTGCTCTGGTAAAAATGTTCTTAGAAAGCTTGGTAAAACAAGAAGCTTAGAGTGTCTTATACTAGGAGTGGAGTCAGACTGGTAGCAGGGTGACCAGCTAAGGGAATACTGCAATAACTTGGGAAAAGTATGCTGATGGATTAGACCAAAGTAGTAGTGGGGTAGAGAGATGTAAAAAAATTTGGAGCGTTATTAAGAAGACTGACTCAACAGACTGGTGATTGATTGGATTGCGTAGGTACTGATCAATTATTTTAGAACCATCATTCTGGCTGCTGCTGGGAGGTAAGACTGGAAAGAGGAGGCCCAGATGTGAGGTTTCTGTATTCCCAGAAGAAGATGATAAGGGCTTTAAATTAGGGTAATGTCTGTGGAAATGGGAAGAAGTGGATGGATTTAAGAGATAATATTGAGTTCAAATCTGTTGAATGTGTTCCCAAATCAGATGTGAAGATGTGAGGGCATTTGGAGAGGTGTTCAGGGTGAAATCCAGAAATCTACCACCAGGAACTTTTCACAGAGCTAGGAGACACAGAAGGAGGAGCAGACTTCAGGTGAGAATGAATTCTGCATATGGTCTAGTCTGAGGTGAATGTGTAACCAGGCACTGGCCGCCAGGATGCAATTGTACTGAAAGCAAAGCAGACATCTCTTATCTAAATGAGAGTCTTTGCTCCCTGTATAGGTTACAGATGTTGGTGCCAAACATACCAAATACCGTATGTGTCAGGGTTCTGTGCCAAGAAATAAAGGGCTCCGTAATTCTCAACATTTTCATTTGACAGTGGTTCAACTCTCTTTCCAAAAGCCATTTATCATCCTGTAGACACCTCTGTCATAAACAAGATGACTTTATTGAGCCTTCTAAAGCTAATAAGAGCTGTATCATTCAATCGGTGACAGAGACTCACATAACTCATAGAAAGTGTTGCAGGGAGATTTCAGTGGTCTCTAGGAGCACAGGGTCTGCCTGCACACACACACATGCACACACACACACACACACACACGCAGAAAGAGAGAGAGAGAGATCTCAGATCTCATGTACATTTTCTTGGAAGAACTCATAGAAACAGACACTAAGATGTGTTTTTACACTTTTGCCCTACATGCAGCAGCACAGCCACTGTTTGAACAAGGTACCTGCATGTCAGAACAGGGATCCTGGGTCCCTTTGTTTCTTGCTACACTCCTGAGAAAGAAGGTAAGCATTCACGCCAGCTAAGCAGCAAACCAAGGCTCTCCAGAGAGCTGCTTTTCTGCACATCACCTTTTATTTATAAGGATCAATCCTCTAACGGTCTACCCAATCACAAAGCCAGTCAGTAGGAAGGCAAAGGGTGTATGGATGGCCCTAACCCAAAGGAGACCGCTTATAGCTTCTTCACTAATATGCTCATTATACAACTCTTAGAATAGGCATCTAACGCCAAACCCAGGTTAGATTCCCACGGCCACTGAGAGAGCCCACCACTGCAGCTCAAAGCTGACTTTGCCTAGCCATGATCTGCCATCCCACCAGGTGGGGATTAGTTGCCATGGAACCAGCTACCCTCTCCACCCAATTGAGTATTTCTTGATCTAACTTAAACTCTGCCCATAGATGCCTTCCAAAGTCCCCCCTCATGTCAAGGTTCCCTAGAGTGAAACCCATTAAATAACAGTTTTCTTACCTGGGAGAAGTCCTGGTGACCAGCAGTGGAAAAAATACTAACTTATAATAGAACTGACAGGGACTCACAGAGCAAATGTGTTCTTTTTAAAAGAAGAAAGGTGACTTCATCCCTGGTGCTGTGGAGTTTAAAAAGAGCAGCGAGTGCTGCCTGGCTGAGCCAACTCTGCTTCATCAGTGATGACTCCATCCAAATTATGCAGCCATTGCCCAGACATGCTCAGCCTTCAGAAGGTAAATCGCTGGAATCTGACTAACCCTGTTGTTTTCAAAGAGCTTCAGAAAATCCTAAGGCACCAATTGCCTTAACTGGCACCAGGGAGAGAAAAACTATGCAGTTATTTCCTTGAGTCATATCATTATATCCACCTCCCCCCGCCAAAAAAAAAGAACTCTAGGGAAGGAAAACAGGTATTTATACTTTCTGAGAGGTGAAAATTATTGGAGAAGTGGAGGCAGGGAGGAAGAAGAAGCAAAGGTATTTTGGTCTGGAGGAGGGGCAGTAAGAAGCTGGAAATGACCACCTTGCTAAGAAAGTTTCAGAGCTATGAATCTGTAAGCAAACAAAGGTGACAAACAGGTGACTGGACTTTGCAAAGGGAAAAATATTCAGTTAAGCAAAGGAGATTAGTTGCTATAGTAAAGGGTGTGACAGCCTTTCTCAAAAATGCAACCAATCTTTATTTTCTTTTTGTTGAATATAATAGCACTCATTCAATATGAGGTCATTGTAATATTAACATATCAGCATAAAACATGTCTGCATTCTAACAGAAAGGTTTGGGGAAAGAGACAGGATTTTTCTCTTCTGCAGGTTAAAGGTGAGGCTGTAGCAACTGGATTTCTACCATGGGATTCAAGGTCGTTTCAAGCTACCCAGAGGGCCAAGAACCTACTCTTGATGCCAAGTCCTGGTCTAAACTCTGGGCAAGAGTTCTGGCGGGGGTGCCAGGGAAAGGAATGATAATGAGTGTGATCTCTGTTGGAAGTGGGGCAGAGGGTTGAGCTTAGTGGCCAGCTGCTCTCTCTCCCAGCCTTTTTACTTCTGGAGAGTATAAGGTGACTCTGGGTCATTAGGCTTGTATCTAATTTCTTCTTGAGCTATTTTGAGGCTTTGAGACCTTTTTGTGTCAAGTTTCACTCCAGAGAGGTTAAACAAGAAAAAAATTTCCTTTCTGTTTAGATAGAGGTATTCAGATCCAACATCAGAAAGAGATTTTTGAAATCACAGATTTAAGAAATGTCAAAATGGCTTACAAAGGGAACTTGTAATTCTTCAGGGTGTGAATAATAATAGAAGTAGAAGAGGGACAGCATTTCATCAATATTAAGAGCAATGAAGACCATTTTTATTTGGTTCATCATAATGTCCTTGAAACTTAGCACAGAGAGAACCATACAGTAGGTGCTCAGCAGAGACAGAGTGATTGGTGCCCTTTTCCATTCCAGGTCTCTAGAATAGATCTGCTGAGAATGCTTAAAGTCACCATCTTGTTGGTGAGGCATCTGGAGGGAGCATGAGCCAGTGGGTCTTGTGGAATGGAAAAGAACTTGGTTATTTGCTTTGTCTCAGCCTCCAGGTTCATTGCCAAAGTTAGAATGGAGCAAAGAAGGCCAATTGCTGGACCTAGGAGCCTCCTTTGCCTATGAGCTAGATTTCATGTCTTTTCCTAAGGCCAGGACTCAACCTAATATGTAATCTACCAACTGTCTTCGATTAATTTTTTGTTCTCAAAAGTCTATTAAAAATTTTCAAACTTAGTGAAATGTCGAAAGAAGAAACCATCATTCTCAGCAAACTGACACAAGAACAGAAAATCAAACACTGCATGTTCTCACTCATAGGTGGGTGTTGAACAATGAGAACACATGGACACAGGGAGGGGAGCATCACACACTGGGGCCTGTCGGGGTGAAATAGGGGAGGGACAGTGGGGGGTAGGGAGTTGGGGAGAGAGAGCATGGAGAGAAATGCCAGATATAGGTGATGGGGAGGAAGGCAGCAAATCACACTGCCATGTGTGTACCTATGCAACAATCTTGCATGTTCTTCACATGTACCCAAAACCTAAAATGCAATAAAAAGAAAAAGAAAGAAAGAATTGTACAATGAACACCTGTATACTTACCACTGGATTTCTTCAATTAACATTTTACCACATTAGTTTTATCCCATGTTGATTCTCTACTCATTTCTCTATCCATCCAGCAACTCATTTAATTATTTTTGTTACTGTCTTTCAAAATAAGTTTTAGACATGAGTATATTCCACCCTAATAATACTTCAGTATTATTAGCCAGAGGTCAATATTTATTTATAATTTCTTTGTTTATTTTCAAATAAAATTTGTATACAGTGCAATGCACAGATCTTAAATGTATCATTCAGGAGTTCCTCTAGACACATACACCTATGCAAACCAAACTCCCATCAAGATACAGAACATAACCATCACTCTGGAAAGATTCCTTATGTCCCTTCCTAGCAAACTCATACCTTAACATCCCAAGAGATAACCAGTCTTCTGATGATTTTCACCATAGGTTAGTTTCACCTTTGTTAGTATTTTACATAAATGGAACCATACAATTTGTATTCTATTGTGGAAACTTTTGTGCAGTCATTATGTTTTTGGGGTTCATTCATCTATGTTGTTGCTTGTATCAGAAGTTGGTTTATTTTCGTTGCTGAATAGTAAACAGTATTTTATTCTATGAATATGCCACTATTCTACTAATGGATACCTGGGCTTCCAGCTTATAGGTATTAGGAATAAAGCTAATATGAACATTTTTGCACAAGTCCTAGTGAACATTTGTTTTTAGATCCCTTGGGTAAATATGTAAGAGTGAATTGTTGGTTCTTAGGGTACCTATGTATTTAATTTTATATGAAATTGCAAGATTTTTTCCAACATTGTTATGCAATTTTCCTCTCCTACCAGCAATGTATAAGAGCTTTAATTGCTTCATGTCATCACCAATATTTACTGTTGTCAGCCTTTAATTTTAGCCACACTGGTAGATGTGGAATGGTATTTCATTGTGGTTCTAATTTGCATTTCCTTGATGACTAAAGATATTTAATGTTTTTCCATGTGTTTATTGAGCATTCATTTATTATCTTTTGTGAAGTGTCCAAATTTTTTACCTTTTATAAAAATTTTAAATTATTTTATTATTGTTTTAGAAGTTCTTAGTATATCATGGATACCAATACTTTTTTACTTTTTTGAGATAGGGTCTCACTCTATTGCCCAGGTAGGAGTGAAGTGGCATGATCACAGCTTACTGCAGCCTTGACCCTCTGGGCTGCAGCGATCCTCTCACCCCAGCCTCTTGAGTAGCTAGGACTACAGGTACATGCAACAACACCCAGCTAGTTTCTGTGTTTTTAGTAGATATGGGGTTTCGCTATATTGCCCAGGTTAATCTTGAGCTCCTGAGCTCAAGCAATCCAGCTACCTTGGCCTCCCAAAGTGTGAGAATTATAGGCATAAGCCACTGTGCCCAGCCAGATACCCAGTACTTTTTAAGATAAGTTTTGCAAATATTTTATTCTGTCCTGTGGTTTGTCTATACATTTTCTTAATGATGTTTCTGTGCTTCTTTTCATTTCTTTAAATTTTAATGACCTAATTTATAAATTTTTTGCTTTTTTGGTTTTTACTTTCCCCAAAGTTATAAAGATTTTTTCCTACATTTTCTTCTAAAAGTTTTTTAAATTTTAGCTTTTATGTTTAGGTCTATGGTTCATCACAAATTAAATTTTGTGGATGGTATACGTTAAAGCAAGGTTAATTTGTTTTCACATAAAATGTAGTTATCTCAACATCATTTGTTGAAGACTTCCTTTCTCAGTTAGGTTGCTTTGGCACCTTTGTTGAAATTAAAATAAATGTATAAGTATGTGTCTATTTCTATTTCTGAGTTCCTTATTCTTTCCATCAGTCTGTTTGTTGATCCTTACACCAGTTGCACACCACCTTGATTACTATAGCTTTAGGGTAATTCTTGACATCCAACAATATCCTATGTCAAATTGGAGGAGGTTCCTGGTGGAAGGTGATTGGATCATGGGGACAGATTTCCCTCTTATTTCCCCCTTGCTGTTCTCATGACAGTTAGTGAGTTCACAAGAGCTGATCACTTAAAAGTGTATGGCAACTCCCCTTTTCTGTCTTTCCTGCTCTGCCTTGGTAAGATGTGCCTGCTTCGCCTTCACCGTCTGCCATGATTGTAAGTTTCCTGAGGCCTCCCAGCCATGCTTCTGTACAGCTGGTGGAACTGTGATGTAATTAAATCTCTTTTATTTATAAATTACCCAGTCTCAGCTAGTTCTTTATAGTGGTGTGAAAACAGACTAATACATCATCTAACTTAAATTTCTTTTTTCAAGACTTCTTTGAATATTTGAGGTTGTTAGAATTAGAATCATCGAGTCAGATTTGACCAAAAAGAAAGGTAGCATTATGATTATGATTTTATTGAATCTTTAGATCCTTTTGGTAATTATTACTATCTTAACAATACTGAGTTTTTCAATCCATTAACATGATTTATCTCCCCATTGATTTATATCTTCAATTTTATTCGGCAATATTTTGTTGTTTTAGTATAGAGGTTTTGCATGTCTTTTGATGAATTTATTCCCACATATTTTGCTTTTGACGCTAATATAAAATTATTTTTAAAATTTAACTCTCCAATTCTTCGCTGCTAATACATAAAAATGCAACTGACCTTTGTATATTAATCTGATATCCTGTGACTTTGCTAAATTCATTTAATAGGTAAGTAGTTGTTACATAAATATAATAGGAATTTCTGTGTAAATATTCATGTCATCTAACATAGAGATAGTTTTACATTTACTTTTTCCATTTTGAATTATATGCCTTTTGGTTTTAATTTTTTAAATATGTGCAAGTCCTCCTGTTAAATGTTAAAAGTGGTGAGATTGGGCATTCTCACCTTGTTCCCAACTTTCAGAAAACCATGCTCAATATTTTGAAATTAGGTATGGTGTTAGCTGAGGGTCTTTTGTAAGTGCTTTTTATCAAAATAAGGAGGTTACCTTCTATTTAAAATATCCTGAGTTTTAATCATAAATAGGCATTGAATTTATTAAAGTTTTTTTTTGTATCTATTGAAGTAATTACATTGTTTTTCTTCGT